GGGGAGGGGACAGTTTACAGCTGTCTGTGCAGAAGGGCAGGTGCACCTAAATACACTACAATGGTTCATTTGGCATGGCTGGTCTAGCTGAAACAACACAGAATGCTTTTGCACCTTGACCAGAGCATTACCTGCTCTAAGGGCATCTCATGTGCCACTTGCAGCTTCACTCCTTGTGAAAGTCTCAGAATATGGTTTCTTCAAGGTTTTACCACAGGAGATGACTACCTAACTTATAACACAGTTTTATTAAAAGCAGACACAAAACCTGGTAGGTTGGCTCAGTTTTTCCAATAATGAGTGCACATTAGGACACGTCAACACTAAATTTGACTAGACTGAAAAATCATAAAAGATAAATTGTGGAACAGTTGTAAAATGATGCTTCATTATAACAAAACTAGGAATTCATGTTTCATTTTTTCTGTCAAACTGTTCACAGTTTAGCACAAACTAAAAAGTTAGCCCCTCTCCTAATCCCTTCTATTAATCTCAGACTTCTTCCTTTGCACACTCAGATGAGGACATGAAAAAATGAAAGTATGTACCTTTTTTTTTCTTCAATGCCAACAAGTTGGAAACAAAATACATAACTACTTTTTTCTGGATGAAGTCTCTGAAGTTTAGCCTATTGCCTTCAGGTTCATATGCATTCTATATAACTGAAGGTGTATTAAGTCAGGACAGTAATCTCCTTAGCCCTCCTTTCTAGCTAATGGAAAATAAGTTAGCAATGCAATGCTGAACAGCTTCTCTTCCAGTGAGAAGCCTGAAGTTGGGCCATTCTGATGTACTAGGACTGTGCTGCAACAGCTGTAGCTACACTCAATAGAAGAGTTGTTTGTGCTTTTGCAAACAGTACTAGTCACACAAAGAAATGCTGGTAAGAGGGCCAACTCAAATACTTAGCATCAGACATTAATTTATGTTAAGAGCTCTAAGCAAGCCATCTCTGTCAACTATTACTCTTTAGGAGAAGGGATGCATGTTTAGATACAATTTTCTAAAGAACTAGTCAAGCCATTGCATGGTCAGCAAGCCTTATGGAGACTGCTCTTCTACCAAGTTCTCTACTTCTCCCATAACCTCAGCTGCTTTCACATGCCTCTGTTCTCTCCTAAGTTTCCAAGAACACTTCCTCCTCCCTTCTTCTCTCACTTGTGTCACCATAGGGTTGCTTGGCTTGGAGCTGCATGAATCCTGATTCACAAGCATGGTAACAGCTGAGACTTTTTTCAGTTTAAGCAAAAATCTGGATGTCTGTTAGGAGCTACTGGCCACATGAGGTTTTAACATATCTTCTGGTGAGGCAACAGCTTCAAAGAATTTTTAGATACACCAAAATCCCACAGTCTAGCTTGCTGATGAAACTTCCCTTTACAGTAGCCACCAGCTGTAGTTAAGACACATTACAAAATACCTTAATCCTAAACCCTTTTTAATTAGGTGTTGACCTTTACACAGTGACTAAAACTAGTATTAGTCTTTCCAGAGTCAGAGATATTAAGCTGCACAGAAATAAGGTCAATATACTATTTTAAGTTAAGCAATGCCACTCTCCCAGGCCCTTATTTAGACATATTTGTCTACAATAAAAATTGCTGCGTCTTCATTTATATTGACATGAGTTACTAGAAAGTAGCTGCCAAAGAAAAATGTTTCTGTCTTGCAAACAACTTTACTGTATTTTTCCATGTCTTACTGCTTGAGTGCTAGACAGCATCAAACATCCTGATAATGAAAAACAAACCAACACAAACCAGTAGATAGGTTTAACACCAATATGCACCTAAGTATGTAGCATACAGGAGCCAATTCAGAGCATTCATGAGCTCTTTTTATTTCATAAAACTAAAGCTTACAGATTCTCAACTCATAACCATTCAGAGAGACAACCACAAAAAGTGTATTAATAAAACCCAACAGGCTTCCAGGCCTTCAAAATTTCTCGAACATAAAGTACAAAAAAAGATAGCACATGTTACATTACAGTCTTGCTGACTTTCACACCATCATAAAAAGTGAACAAACACATTCAGTAACTTCAGGCGTACCATTAAAAAGATACCAGTAAGTGCTCCAGTTTTCTGTACCATACAACTTTATTTCAGTCACATTTCAGTCATATCTTTCTAGGCAATGTATCCAAAATATTTGACTCAAGCATACCTTTAGACTGCAAATATACTGAAATAGGACATCAAGTCTTCCCTACCTAAAAAAAAAAAACAAAAAAACCAAAACCATTAAGTTTTAGGTCATATTATAAAAAGTAACCATGTGGAATGTGACAAGTCATAATGTGAAATCAAAGTGCTTTATTCCCATAGCACAGAGAGACATGAGTGGTTATCCAGCCATTCTTTTGTATATCTCAAACACCAAAAGAGATATTTGCTCTGTTGCACCCCACCTTGCAAAGACCTTTGGATCATTATGGTGAAATTTCATTAACTGACAGCTAAACAGTATCAGTGGACCAGCAATTTCACTTTGAAACTTCAAATAATGATATAAATGAGGCATCTTTTGATCATTTTTCAAGTTCTCTTAATAATTTACAAAGTTCTCCTGTATTATGTAACATTATATTCCAGTTAATCTCTTAAAATCCAAGGTATGCTCTATTCAAAACCCTAAAATTATTTCCCTGTAACCCAATAGCTGTCTAAGACTTGGCATTTTTGTGCAATTCTTTGCTATTTGCATGCGAAGAGAGAAACACTTCACCCAACAGCCTGTATGAAAGAACCATAAATTCTCAAAGCAGAAAACAACTTTAATAAGGTTTGGACATCAGTAGCTGTGTGGAATATATGCTCAATTCAGATGTGCCTGTACTGAAGAATACTCATGTTCTAAGTGTTCAGTCAGAAAACTTCCCTCCTACAGAAGTCTAAAAACCTACTTATCTTGCAGAGGAAAGTTTAAGACTTAGGCATCTAATTATCTTTTCTGTTACAACAGAATTAGCTCTACATCATAATATGTATGATAAATCTTCCCTGTTTCAGACATCCCACTGTACAGGTGTACAGTTTAAACAGGGAGGACTGAGGGAAAATTTCTGGTCCCGTCCCACAGACATAAAGGAAAAGCGCTTTGCAAGACTGATCTTATCCATTGCATTTGAGGCAACCAACCCAAAATGAAGGCACATGAAATCTGTAACATTATAGCTTATAAATTGTAAACTAAAGCTGAACCTCTCTATCATTTCTAGTCTTTTTGCACAGAAGTAATGACCAGCACCTATGCAGAGGTTCTATATTATTTTTAATGCAGCTTTTTCCAGAAATAGTTAAGTGTCACTTGCATGCCTGTGCAAACACTGTCATTTATTAGGTCTTGACATGAAGTGCAGAAACTGGTTGTTATCTGCATGGAAAGTCTGATGCCAATGCATCAGTAGCACTTCCTTCCCGTCGCTACAAGAAATATAAGTCACTAGCAACAGCCACAGAGACCTGGCTGTTATCTCAAAAGTGCACACTCCCTGCAGCAGTTTTCCTGTGAGGTGCTCTACAGCTTGTGGCATGCATTTAATCAGTGTTTCAAATTTGGATTTTAACATGTCAAAGCCTATCTACTTTTGGTTAGCTACAGGCCAGGCACGCACATGCATCATAAGGAAGCCAACTCGAAACGTGCTTTGACAGATGCTGCATTGAAACTGGCCATACTTTAACCACTAAACACAGATGAGCTGCTACACTGAGCAGCATTCAGGATCCGGGATCAGCTCAATACCTCAGCTCTTAAGGAAAGCTGAATATGGATATAAATCGGCCTCCTAGATTTCACTGGAACTGCTGCCTTTAAAGCAGAGAAACAAGATTCAAGGTTTCCGAAAGCTTTAACAGACGGATAGGCTCGTCAATCAGATTAAGACTTACTAGGCTGTCAAACAACAGTTCAAAGCCTTGGCTATCACTTCTCTAGAAATATAGGTTTAAAAGAACTCAAACACCACTGCCACCACTTAACTAGAATATGTAATTATGCTTCATTCAGAACGATAAACAGGGATTGGGTTTTGGAGTTCTAGTTTTTCACCCTATGCATGAATTCACACACCTTCCTTTTTTTTGTTTTCTTCCCCTTTTTTCTCTATTTCCGCACAGTGTAAATTGATGGGATTGGCACACGAATTACCAGCGAACACAGACCTGTAGCTATTACATTACAGAACCATATTAGAGTTTCATGAAGATTTCATGCAACGGTGTCTGTGCTCTTTTATTCTAAGAGAACGACTTTCACAGGTAACACATACAACACGATTTTCTGATTTTAAATGCAGTGAGTTACACAAAGAACATTAACAAGAATTGACCAGACTTAATAACTGGAACTGCGCTAGGTCTGGCACTTGAGAATTCACAGTGATTAAAATAAAATTGCTTTGCCTAAGACAAAACATAAGATACCAAATATATATAAAAACTCTTTGCTTCTATTATCTTGTATTAGTATTCCAACAGCGATAAGCAAGTTCAGTAGTACCTCAGACAGCAAAGACTTCTGCACATGGTTAACTTTATTCATTGCTTGCAGTGCAATGGATTATTATTTTTTAAAATAATGTATTCATGATGTCAAATCAAGCAATTTTCAATGCATAAAGTCAACACAGGCTCAACTCTTTGATGGATTGAAGCTTGGATTCTGACAGGAAACCATTCTGTACCATCTCATTTTGTGTACCCAACTCCACACTGTGCCAGGTGGTATTGCTGTTAAAGAGAAACTTAAGGTATACTCGTATATTACTGAGGTGTTCTTCTGCCATAGCAAGTTGTTTGCTGATAGTTTATAGTACCGGTTGATAGTGTAAGAGTAAAGCATTTGCACTTTTCTTTCCCCCATTCACTTCACTAATCCTAGTAGAGCCACTAACACAGGTTTACGATCCCAAAGCCTGCTTTTAGAGAGAAAGGAGCACAGCTTTTAAACACCCCAGTGTTTCTCTACCCACCCACTGCCTCCCATTTCAGCTCTAAGGGCCCGACTGGAGCAGCTGCTCCCAGGAGCTGTGAGCTCCCCGAGCCCTGCTGGGCTCACTGACCGCACCGAACTGGGAGTTAAAGCAAGATACTCAGGACCCTTCTGGGCAGAGTCCACGAGTGTAGGCGAGAACCCACTCGTACGTGCCTCACCTTCTGTGCTACACCTGAGGGCACTTTGGTCCGTGCATCCACCTCCCAGACCTCCTGCTCCCTGGCCTTATCCAAACACATTGGACTTTGGCCTGAGCTTGAATGACGATTTCAGGGATTTCTCCTCATGCTCTTCCTCCTCAGCGTCACCGCGAAAGGAGGGCGTGTTGTGGATGATCTGAGTCCTGAAGCGGATCTTATTAAGCCGAGGCTTCATCCGTCCGCTGCCAGAGGCTTTCCTGGTCATCTCCTTGCCTTTGCCCGGCACCGCTGCCCCATCCGTACCTTCAGCTTCCTCCCCAGTGCCGTGATGGTGGTGGGAGAGCCGGTAGTTCATGAGATTAGATGGCAACACCTTGGAGAGCCTCCAGCGCCCGCTCCCATTGCCAGCATTCCCTTCCTCCTCCTCCTCCTCCTCCAGGGCCCCCACGAGGTTCCGCATGTCCCCCGAGGTGCCCTGCTGCAGGTACTGCGCGGCCTTGCGCCCGCTGTAGTCGCGGATGTCCACGTCGGCGTCGTAGGCTCCCACCAGCAGCTTGACGACCTCGGCGTGGCCGTGCATGGCGGCGATGTGCAGCGCCGTGTGCCCGCCGCTCGTGCGGGCGTTGATGTCCACGGGCAGCCCGTGCCGCTGGGCGAAGTTGACCAGCGTGGCCAGCAGCTCCTGCCGCCCGTGCTTGGCGGCCCAGTGCAGCACTGTGAAACCGGTGATAAAGTCCCGCTTGCAGAGCAGCGCCGGCTCGCAGCTCAGCAGCCCCTCCAGGCTCTCCCATCGCCCGTCCGAGGCCGACAGCATCCAAGCGTGCTCCAGGGGGTCCAGTGCCACGGAGCCGGTGGTGCTCCCCTCTTCCTCGGCGGAGGACGAGGCCACTGAGGCGCTGTCCGAGTCGCGGCCGCGGCTCCCGCCGGGGAGGGCGCCGCGCTTCAGCTGGGGGGAGCTGCCCCGCGCCGCCTCCCGCAGGCTCCGCCGGCCGCCGCCCTGCGCCGCCGCCCCGGGCGCTCCCTCCGCCGCCCCCGCCTCGTCCGTCGCCGGGGGCCGCCCCGGGCCCGTCGCTATCGCGGTCTCCTCGCCGCCGCCGCCTTCGCCGCGCCCGGGCGGTGGCCCCCGCCGGGAGCCCCTCCGCTGGCCTCCAGCCACCGCCGGGCTCGGCCGGAGCGGCTCGCCCCGCTGCCCCGGGGGCTGCGGACGGCTGCCGGCATCCTCGCCTGTTGCCGGCGGCGTCTCCTCAGCACCCGCCTGTGGGGAGGGCGGCGGGCTCGGCTGCTTCGCGCTGTTCTCCGCCGCCGGCTCCTGCTCCCCGGGGGTCAGGGGGGCGGCGGCGGCGGCGGCGGGGAGCTCGGGGGCGCAGTACCGGCGCCGGAGGTGCACGTACTTGACGCCGGTGCCGGGCTCCTGGCGCACGGTGGCCACTGCGTTGACCAGCTCCTTGAAGCGATGCCGGGCGGCGGCGCGGCGGGAGGGCTCCGCGGGGTTCAGCCAGTCCCGGAAATGCTCCAGCAGCTCCGCGTTGCGCGCCCGCCCGCCCCGCGCCGCCAGGAACCGCACCACTGACTCCTGCTGCAGCTCCGCCGGCTCCGCCATCGCCGCCGCTACCCCATCGCGCCGCCGGCGCTCCTACTGCTTCTACTGCCGCTACTGGTGATGGTGGCAGTGGTGGTGCGGGCGCGGCAGAGCCGCCGCTGCCCGAGCCCCTCCTCCCGGCGGCAGCATGCCCGGCAATCACTGCCGCGGCGGCGGCACCGCGCCGCCCTCCGGCCGGGAGGCGCCCGCTAGCAGTGCCCGCCCCGGCGGCGGAGCCGCGGCCGCATCCCCGCCCCGCGCTCCTCCCCGCCGCGTGGCTCTCCCCTTCGGCGGCAGTTTTGGCCGCGTCCTTCTCTCTCTACTCTTCTCCCTCCTTCTGTGTCTCTCTGGCGGGGCTATGGCCGCTTCCGATACCGACGAGCACCTGGTAAGTCCCCTCCGCGGTGCAGGGAGCGGCTGGTGAGCAGCCCCTGTGCCGGGGGTGAGCCCGGCGCGGCTGAGGGGACGGAGGGGCCCGGCAGCGCCGGCACCAGGAGGGGAAGGAGGGTGGCGGTCGCACCGTGCGAAGGAAGAGGTGGAAGTGCTGCCCTCACTGTGGGGCGCCGGGCACTGCCCCTGGTCCGTGCCGGGCGCTGCTGAGGGCCGCTTCAGGGTGCGGGTCGGGTTAGCGGGGGAGATGAAGGCTCCTTCCTCACGTTAGTTCCCGGAGCTGTCAGGCTTTTAGAACACTTGTTCTTAAAGGAACTTGTGTTCAGGTGTCCCTCTTCCTAGTGCTCCCCTGGCGTATCGCGTATTTCAGGTAATAAGTTGAATCTTGTGTATTGAAGAGTTACTTCTGTGTAATGGCAAAGCTGTCAGCTTTATGTTCTGAAGACATTGAGCCCGTCCACGCGGCAGTGCTGGAGCGTCGTTCCCATGCCTGTAGGTAGTAGTGGAGAACTCGGGGCTCAGGAGGAGTCAGATCTGGGGTGCCCATGGGCACGTTCATGGGGGGATGTCCACGGGCGCCGCATCCTTCCCAGCACCTCGGCGGGGGTGCCGGGACCCTCACCCCCTGCAGAATCACACACTGGGTACGGTTTTCTTCGAGTTTTGGAGGGCAAGTTTCTGTGACATCTGCAAATCCAGTAGCAAGCTAGTTTCTTGCTTAGACTGCTAGTCTGGTTCAGCAGAGGCTTACGCAGAGCGATGCATGTAGTCTGAGACTTAACTTTTGCTTTGGTAAGGGATGGTGTTTCACAGTTTTGGTCAAAAATATGTGGTAAATTTAAAAGATTGCTATTTTTTTAGGGGTTTTTTTCTGAAAGAAATAATATTTTTTAAATGTTACACAGTCTCAGGTTATGTTTTTTTCATGCTGTTTTTGATGGGCAAGACAACTTTATATAAACCAAAATATTTGATTAAATCATAGAATCTTAGAATGGTTTTGGTTGGAAGGGATCTCAAAAAGATTGGTCCCAACCCTCTTGCTCTGGGCAGGGACAGTTTCCACTAGACCATGTCGCTCAGACCCCCATCCAATTTAACGATTCTGAAGAAATCTAGACACATTAGTTATGCCACCAACCTTTAAGAATGGGGTTTAGGGAAGGAATGAGGTGTGAGTTAGGTGATATTTAGGTGATATCAATTAGGTGATCAACTAGGTGATATTTTTTTTTTCTTTTAGAAGTAGTAAGAATGTAGATATCCTGTGGTCAGTTTTGTGGACTTTGTCTCTCTGCTATTGTCTAACAAATAAGCAGAGAAATTGACACCCGATGTCCGTGGAAAATTTCAGAGGGAAAAATGTGGCTACTGCTTTTCTATTAAGATAATGCTTCAGTTGCTGTCAGGTGGAATAGGTTTACACAGTGATTCTTGTGTAAGGAAGGGGTGTCCTGAATAAGAGCTCGCTGCTTGGTAGGCACCAGCAATTTACACACTCAGACAAGCTACTTCTATTTCTTTATTCTAGTTTGTGCAAAGTGGGGTGCTAGGTGATGACCCACAAAATGCTAGCTGCCCAGTCATCAAAACTACATATATAGATTTTAGCAAACAAAGAAATCAAGGGTCACTGGCATCTAGTTGCATAGTTTTCTTAATTAGTGTTCTACCTTCTGTTGGTTAGTGATTCTCTGGTTTATCATGCTAATTAGTTCACATTCGCAGTTTTTCTCTTCTTTTGAGTTGGTGGTCTGTGAGTCGGTGGTCACAATCTCCTGCTAAAATTTCCTTGGAGCTGAGTCAGTTGATTTCAGCATAGTTGCTGAGTTGACTTTGTTAGTTTCTTCCTTACATTGGATGTTCTGCCAAATGTCCTTGTGGCCCATACATTTTGCATTTTTTGTGTCCACTCTCATTAGCACATCCTTCTCCCCAGGCTTTGTTAACCTCCTCCAGGTCTGAGATCATCGAGGCATGTCAAGTCCTAAGCCATAACAAGGCAATTCTGCTGACAAAGTAATTTATCTTTCCAACATCTGGACATCAGAAGGGAATAAATTTATTCCTGTGAGGGTTTTTTAATTTTGAGAGTTACAGATGGCAGTGCAGAGGTCGGGATTTAGGCTGAAGGTGAAAGGCTTCCCTTCTGCAATCACACTGAGCCTCTTGCACTGGCTTTTGGTGTGAAGCTGAGTGGTTTGTGTTAGAGGAGCTGTGTTATCCTAGTGGCAATCGAGGTGCTTTGAGTAACAGACTGAGTAGCTAGAGTTCATAGATGTGCAGCCACTCTGTCTCAGATGCACTTGTCTTTAAATGGACAGGAAACTGACAGTTCTCAGTGTTTCTCAGCACTTTTTAATAGTAATTTTTTTCTGGTAGAATGACTTGAGAAATTTTGTTTTCTGATGCGCTTTGAATGCAATTTTTTTTAATAGCCCAAAGATGTAATATTTTCTTTTTAAACAGTTCACTTTGCATATGTATTTTTCCTCATATTAGTCTAAAATGGAATTATCTAATTAGAGGAATCTAAAATGAGAATTGGTGCAGTGCAGTCTGTAAGCCCATACAAGGAAGTCCTGTTCAAGTAAAGAAGAGGATGAGTAGATGCCACGAGGAATATCCATATCCTTCTAGCTACAAGAATTCTGAGACTTGCTATGCATACTTATTAGAAAAGGTGTCACTTTAATGGGCTTTTAAGTGTTAAATTTAAAAATTTCTTACTATTGACCATGTGCACATTCACATGGAAACAGTAATAGTTTCCAATTCCATGTGGATTGGAAATATAAGAGAAAGAATGGACTTGTCACCATTTCTACTTCTGATATGTAGTGTTTGTTTAAAAATACAGTTCATTTGTGTGGATCAAGATATTTCCTTTTATATTATAGTGTGCTCAAGATATTTCCTTATGCAAGGAAATTTCCTTATGATCAAGATATTTCCTTATGCATTTTAGTGTGCTCACTGCCTTGATGTCATGGTTCTAGATTGCTAACTCATGTTTGAAAAGGAATGTGCACCTTTAGATATTTCTAATGAAATAGATAGAAAGCTGTCTCAGAGTTCTGGTGCATATAATGAGTGTAGATAGTGTTTTAGTGGACATTAATAGCAATTTCAGTTCCAGCTCCTCAGAATGAGTTCCATTTGGTATTGCATACTTTCCTCTGATTATGCTTTCTATTTTGAATTCTGATGCTCAGATTTTTTTAGTACGTTTTCCTAATTTCTAAGAGCAAACCAACTGTGATCCATTTTCTCCCTACAGTTTGCATTTTCAGTTGGACTTGTCTACTTTATTTCATTCATGTTTCATAAGGTTGTTTGGTTTGGGTTTTTTTTTCCTTTTTTTTTCTTTTAAGCCTTCAAATTGTTCTGTAAAGTAAATTGAAATTTTTCCTCTAATCATGGACCAAAGCTCATTTGACAGGTCTTTTTTTTCAAACTTTGGCTTTTCTCCATTGCATGTGAAATCATAAGGAATGAGTTTTAGCTTTCTAGTAGAATTTTTATTGCCATTGTTAACTGATATTTTAAAATTATTTTTCTCTAGCAAAATGTTGGCTGTCGAACTTTGTCCTTGTCTGCACATGTTGGGTTTGATAGCTTACCTGACCAACTGATCAGGAAGTCCATCAAGCATGGCTTCTGCTTCAACATTCTTTGCATTGGTGAGTACTATCTGCGTGCCTAAAGGCTTTAGTGGCATACCCATCTTAGGAAGTGACTGGAATTTAAATCCACTTGTGGTGTTAAACAGTTTCTTTAATGTTAAACATGAACTGTAATTCCACCCCTTCTCCCAGCTTTCTTTATTTGGGTTTGTATGTAGCATTTTCCTAAACAAAGTGAAGACCAAAAAATGTTGAAAATGTATGCCAGTCATTTATTCATTTATCAGCAGCCTTTTGGAATTTTTTTGAGTAAACGGGGCTTACACCTGTAACAAAGAGCTTCAGATTAAAAAACTTCTAAAATTCCAAGGTGATATTACTGAAATGTTTCTATACTTATCAAATGTTTTGCTCTAATATTTTACCCTTGTTCTTAAAAGATGTTTGTTGAATCTCTGGTTTCACAGCTAGGTACTTAACTTTTAAAAATCTATAGGAAGTTAATTCAGACTTTTAAAGAAACCAAAGTGTCATGACACTCTTCAGCTCATTACTCATTAGCCGATAATTTACCCTTATACGTAGGATGAAAAAATAATGAAAATATATTTAGTGTTCACTAGAAGAATGCACAAATGCGCAATTTTGCTCAGAGAAATCAGTTGAGTTTTTGTGTACACTTTCTATGATTATTATGTATGTATTGGATGTGAAAAACCCTTCTGTTTTACTTTAGGGGAAACTGGAATTGGGAAATCAGCCTTGGTGAGCAGTTTGTTTAACACCGATTTTGAGGACTCTCCATCAACACATTTTCTGTCAAGTGTGCGACTTAGAGCCCAGACTTTTGAACTCCAGGAAAGTAATGTTCTTTTGAAGCTGACAGTTGTAAAAACAGTGGGGTTTGGTGACCAGATGAACAAAGCAGATAGGTAAGTGCCCTCTTGTCACTGTTATGCTGAAGTTTTGGTCTTAAGTGCAAGTTGATTTTACTTTGGGCTTTTGTAGTAAGTGGTTGTCTTACATGTATTCCAAGTAGATGGTTAACTGTTTTCCCTGTGTGCCAAAGTAAACACATTGTTCTTCTCATGTAAGAAATTATTTTATAATTCAGATGAACTCTGCCCTTTGCTTTATGAAATCTTTTCTTTCTTAATCTTTTGTAAATGTGTGCATATGCAGTAGTTTCTTTTGGGGTGGAGAAAAGCAGGGAGTTCAATGGGTGGGTTTTTAAACAGCTAAGCAGATTATAAAGTACTGCAGATTATATAGATTAGATCTACAGGGTTTTTAACAATTTCATTGTAACTTGTTGAAGACCTTAAACTGGAAGTTTAATCATGTGAATTACTGAAGGCCTTTGTGTTTTGTATCAGTCAGCTTAGTCAGAAGATGTAGAGGCAGCACACTGGTGTCTTTCAGAACTTTTTTTGAGTCTGCTTTTGTGACTTTTTTACAGGACTGAACTGTCTCAGCAGATTTTGTTTCTTTCAAGGTAATTGTAAAGGATTTGTGCCATGTGAGTACCTAAATGGTGGTACTCATATAATAAAAGGTTAGAGAGTCACGTTAAGATTATCATGATAGCTGTGGCTCATGATATGACTGGATAATAGCTGCTGGTGGTGAATTGGATGAAGGAGATGCAAGTAGATACTAGTATAGCTATTACAGGTCTTGATGTGTGGTATAGGAGGTGCCTTTTTGTCCTTTTGATTTTGTGTGTAACACCTGCTTCTGGATTTCGATAGTGTTTGATCTGGTTTGTAAACTTTGTGAGGAGAAGAAATGTAAGGGTGCACTGTTTCTACATCTAGCAAAACTTTCTTTTTGAAAGCACATTAGACTCTGGTTTTAGGTAGGATAAAGTATATTTAAACTGTACTTACTATAAATCGGATTTTTATTCTTTAACATTTCTCATTTTAGTTTTTGTCTATTGTTTAAGAGCTCTTATGTACAGTACTTCAGATGATAAAGTTCATCCTGTTTCTTGGTACTATTAGTTACAAATTCTTTCTTTTCTTGTATTGTACCTAAGAGGTTGTTGTATCTTCCTTATGTTTAAGAGTTCTGCATTTGCACAACTTAATTGCAAAATTTTAAAAACATCACTTGGGAAGTTTGTTATAATCATAATTATATAGTTTTTTTTTTCACTAATAGTAGTAGCTAGGAAATATTTTGTTTGTATTAGATGCACAATTCTTTTCTGAGTAGGTTTTCAGAAATTAGGATTACTCTGTACACATAATTTTCTGCCCTACCTTAGCAGCCTTTTGACATGTAAAGCAAAAATCTGCAGAACAATACAAGAGAATTCCCTTCTTAGTCTGTCTCTGTTTAGGAGTAGCTAATATCTGGTTGTTAAATTTTATTTCCTACAGCTATCAGCCAATAGTGGATTATGTAGATGCACAATTTGAAGCCTATCTCGAGGAAGAACTGAAAGTTATACGTTCTTTATTTAGCTACCATGATACTCGCATCCATGTCTGCCTCTATTTCATTTCACCTACAGGCCGTTCTCTAAAAACCATAGATTTGTTAACTATGAGAAGCCTAGACAGTAAGGTAAGACTTGGAAACAGTTCCAAGAATTTGTCTTACTTTCTAAAGCATCTTGTAACTTTTAGGTCCACTACCACGTTTCAGATCTATATCGATGAATTTGGTTTAGTAATTTTTTTTGGTACTGATATACTTGAAGTTCCAAATAAATGGGCTCTGCACGTAGCTTGCAGTTCATCACTTGTTTATTTACAAATCAAAAAGAGAGAGACGTATGGCAAGAACATTAAAAAAAGAATCACAACAAAGTTAAAAAAAATACTAAAAAAAGTAGAACCACACCAACTTTACTTTAAATAAACCCTAAGCATAGTAGGGAGGTTGGATAGGGTACCTTCTGTAAGCACTTTACTATTTCTAATTAAGCTTGTTTCTAGTTTTGGGACTGCTGGAAAGTTGGTATCTAAAAAGCTCTGCAACACTGCAGATCTTTGTTTTAGATAACCGAAGAGGCACGAAGAGCCATGAACAGAACACTCTGCCAATGTGGCTTTTTCTGTGATAGGCTGCAGTAGTGTTTTAACATATTGATTTGTTTAGAAAGCTTTGAAATAGCACTTTCTAGTGAAATTACTTGCATTTTCTAATTCCTTAACTTTCTTCCTGTAATGGAACTGTGTGAAGCTAAATCTTTAACCTATTTTAAGAAACCTTACATTATTTGGATTGAATTTGTTGAAATGTTGAAAATTTTGAAAACCTAAATGCATTTGCTGTGCCTTTCGCCTTTTTCTTTGTGCTGTACTAGAACCCCTCTCACTAAATTTTCTTCCTGCATTTTCTTGTTTCAGAGAAGTTTTTCCAAGATAGCAAGGATTAAATCAGCTGTCTAGTCCACATTTGTGTTTGATAAGCCCATTTGGGAATTTCGTTACTTTGTTTGTGGATGTATTTTGCATTCTGAATTTCTCAATAGCAGAGAAGGGAAGGTATGGTGCTACAAAGGTAGGGGAGAGCACATTTCTGTGTGCTATGTTGTTGGTTTCTAGGTTGTGCCTGCTCTTTACTGAACTTCCTTTAAAACAGTGTTTCTTTCAAAAGAAAAGGATACAGATCTTCAAATTCCAGCATCCTAAGAAAATACTTCCATCAGGATAAACCAAAAGTAATTTTGCTTTGAGGAATTTTGGCTTCTAGCCATCTACTGCAAAAAATTTTAATTCTGCTTTGGCACAGAGAGAGCATAAACCACATGTAACTCTGTTGTTTTATCCCTTTACAATGGATTCTTTCTGATCTTACTACAGAAATATCCATATACACACAGAAAGAGTTATGTGCTTTAACTGTAGTTTTGTTTGTGGAGCATGTTTGTGGTGCTTTTAGTACTGCATTCTCCTAGTGGCAGTTAAGAACTTGGAATTTCCCAGGATGTGGGAGTCCCTGGGTGTATTCACTGAGTACAGGATTCCATAAAGAGAAGATGGTACAGCCACATGCATTCATCAAATGTGTAAATCTATGTGGAAAGCTGTCTTGAGTTTCTTCCTGAATCCACTGCAGTGTGCACTGTGTACTTTTGTTACAGTCTGCTGCTACAAAACAATAGCAGATTACACAGCTCAGAGGTACAGAGGGTTCTTGGGATAGATCAGGTTCATCCTGTACTCTGCAGTCCTTGAAGAAAAAACAGAGTATCTATGGTCAGTTTGTTTTTCTCTATTATGGATTGGATGACGAGCTAAAAATTTGGACTCTAGCATTTAGACACTGGAAAATCCTATAGTTTCTATAGTTTTGCTTAGGATGGCATCACTACAGACAAGCCAGGTTTCATTCACAGACAAAGGGATCTTTTCCTGTACTCTTTCTTCCTGGAAATAGTGATTATTCAACTAATAGCTCTGCAGTTTTAATTCATTCTCACAGAATTGTATGCAGGTTATGGTTAAGTCAGTAAAGTACCTTTGGGGATTTAGGTTTTTTCCCTTCAGAAAGAATCTTCAGAAATTTTTATATTGATTCACAGAGATACACTTAAATCAGCCTGCTCTTGCAACCAACAATGATTTCAATTACATGTATTTATTTTCCTTCTTTGTGGCTTATCTAAAGCCAAAGTTAAGTTCATGCTTTTCAATTTTTATACACTTGTGGTGATTTAATGTCAATGTTGATAGCTGTAATCACAGTTTCTGATGATTTTTGTGTTTTACTGTTCTTCTTGGTAGACTTTCTCTGCTATTTGTTTTCTGTTTTCTAAGAAAAATTCTCTCCTAATTAGTGAGTGCTTGAAAAACATCCACGTTGAAAAGACAACTTTCATGTTGAAAAAGAGTAGAGGTTAATTGAATTCTGAGGACTCTGTGTTCCATCCATTTTTAGACCTACATTGGAGAAAAACTATGCTGTTGTCCCTCAGCTAATTTGATTGAAGGTGTGAATTACTCCTAGTGTAACAGATTGTTTATACAATTCTAAATGAGTTCAGTTATTAGAAAAATAAATCCCATAATTTTATTTGATTTTAGATATTTTACCCCATATATGCTTAGATCATGTATGCTACACAATTAAGGACTATCATCAGGTAATCTTGGAAGTCATACTTCAGAGCTGGCTTGCTTCTTTTTCTTTGGGACATTTTGCTTAAGACAGAAGTCTTATTTGAAAAATATCCATTTTGAATCTGTTCTTGACATTTAGGCATTTCCATTCAGGCAGAATATTCAGAAGAATAGAAAGTGTGTATGTTCTTTTGGTTTTTTTTTTTCCTCTCCTTCCTTTTTGCATCTGTGATCAAGGAACTCTATAAAACACTTCATCTTTTGAAATCCAGTAGAGTTGTGTATGTTGTTCGTTCTAAATATTGGAAAATTCATGATTTACATTTTTTTTCCATTTGGGTATTCATTATTTCCATTTAGTTCCAAAAAATGTGTATTTTGGGAGTGATGATAGTATTTGTAAGAAAAAATTGGCATCTATTGCTTCCAAGTTACTGCCATCACTATTTTAGGAAATAGGGCAGTTTAATAGAACTGAATTCTGTGTTCTGAATAATTAGTATAAGGACTGGTGAGCAAGAAGCTTTTGCCTGTGTTACTCCTCTGCTCATGTCAGATGCTGGAGAAACTGTGCTGCAGTGGTGAGGTGAGGAAGATGTAGCTGAAAGGAGCCCAAGGAAGAGGCTCAGGGGTAGGCAGGGTTTGGCAGCCAGCTTCCTTTTCTTTCTGTATTTAGACTGCCAGCTTTCATTTAACACCTGAGCCATGTCCCCTGCTGCTATAAACTAAACAATCTATTTTTTTAACAGAGATATAAATACTTAATGGCATTTAGTTAATAAGTAGGCATTGCTTGCGTTTGAGTACTTCGCTCTATGAGACCTCCCTCTTTGTTCTTAGAATCAATTACTTTTAAGGGAGTATATTAAATAATTGGTTGCTAGTTAGTTAAATGATGCCCATGAGAATATTTTTCATTGTTTGTGAAAATTTGATATCAATTGATGGAAAGGTTTGGACTGCAGAGGAAGTTTTAAACAGCTAATTAAAAAACAATTCTATTTACAAAAGTTGCCACCTCGAAATTGAAGTCTCACACATTTCACATAATTTATGTCATTCATAGGTGAACATTATACCAGTTATAGGCAAAGCGGACAGCATTTCTAAAACTGAGCTGCAAGAGTTCAAGAAGAAAATAATGAATGAATTAACTAGCAATGGCATCCGAATATACCAGTTTCCTACTGATGATGAAACTGTTTCTGAGATTAATACCATCACAAATGTAAGTAAATGACAAAAATATTGATATTTCAGTGCTAAAACATCATTCTCTAATGCTCATTCGTGTCACTGCTTTCACAGTTTTCTTTAAGCTTGTAAGTTTGTATGTCACCAGTTTATTCTTCTCCTTAAAAAGCTCTTATGTGTTGGGGTTTTTTTTCCCTACTTATAAATCTTCTGCCCCTCTGCTGTTGATACATGTAACAGAAAAGAGGTTCTCATGCATAAATGGTTTTTCTAATATCTGGTTAATTAATATATAATTACTATTATAGATGGACAGATTGTCTTTGCTCTTTTACTCAACAGATACAATTTTACATCTGGTAGAGAAGATATTTAGGTGCCTTATGTCTACAACTTTCTACAATAGCAAGTCTTACACCTGCTTTTTTTCTTTTATTTAGTACTTTGTCTTGAAATTAGGACAGATTTTCTCTGGGGATGAAGAAGTGAGATGTGACTCTGGCTTATTTTCAGTTGTCCTTTTTGACTGTCCCAGAGGTAGCTGCCAGCTCTCAGCTGTGAAGCTAGATGGCTTTGCCTTGAGTGTTCTGTATTTGCTGCTCTCATGCAGCAGATGTGTGTTTGTAGGTGCACCTGACCATGTGTTTGTGTGTGGGGGTATGAAAGTGGGAACAGGAGCCAGGATGCCAGAGCCCACGGCTGTGCATTCCTAACCTCTGTTACCTGACCAGGGAGTGACAATGTGCAGCTGTGCATCAGTAACAGGACCTTTTGCTGTGGAGAAACGTGGTGGTTTGTTACTGACCACTTCCATGCTCTGCTAGTGATTTATTTTCCAGGTAATGGTGTTTCTTTATTTGGTCAGCTGTTGTGGGTCAGCAAGCAGGCAGGCAGTGCCCAGCCTGTCTTTGTGCCAAGCCCACAGCAGTAACCACAGCACAGGCTCCAGTGTGTGTGATTCTCACATGAGTGTTATTGGGATATGAACTCTGACTGAATGTATGAGAGCAGTTTTCTGTTTGGGGCTGACATTTCCTAGGGCAGCTCAGGGTGTAGTTGGCTGCCTTTGCCATTGGGACAGACCTGCTGAATCAGGAACAGCCTGCTGTTCACCAGGTCTTTGCCCCCATGTCTTATTCTGTAAAGTTCCTTTCCAGACAGCCCCCAGCGTGTGCTGGGGCATGGGCTTATTCCTCCTGACATGCAGGACTTAGCATTGCTCTCATTTCCACTTTGTGAGATGCCTGTTGGCCCATTTCTCCAGCCTGCTGAGGTTCCCCTCAACACACCCATGTGAATCTATCAACTGCTCCTTCTGCTTCTATTGTAGTTTGAGTTTTTTATCAGTAGATACTGCATAGCTACTGATCTCCTGGGGGTAGTTTTAAACTGCTTGTTGGCTTTTCCTGAAATGGTGTTTTCCTCCCTAATTTGTTTCTGAGGTGTTTCTATGTTTTTACATAAGAGTGCTGACAGATAAGACTTAATTGGTACATCTCCTACAGGGTTATTTGCCATTTGCCGTGGTAGGAAGTATGGAGAAGGTGAAAATTGGAAACAAAATGGTGAGAGCTCGTCAATACCCTTGGGGCATTGTAAAAGGTAAAAGAATTCTTTAAAGTATCTTTATGAGCTTTTGCTGTTGAAGTATAAAATTCACCAATAATACAAGGGGCTGTTTCACTGATGCCAGGCTGATTGTATTTTGGATCAACAGTATAAGGAATTTAGCAATTAATACTTGAGGCATGCACTAACTTGTAATTTCGTCCTCACTGATGCATTCTTGGGGTTAAAGTATGAGATGGTGTATGTAGTATTTGGGCAGGTTGGGATAGTGGCAGTACCTCTAGCACTACCAAATTTCAAACATTTGTGATTGTCAGTAAAGAGGGTTAAAAAAGAGAGAAATGTGGTTGCCTTCAGCTCAAGCAGGAAATCAGGACAGGTTGAAATATGTTCAGCAGTACTTACAGGTCTTCAGTACATCAGTATGTATATTAAAAATTATAAAGAAGTATAAGAGGTATAATAAACAACAAGATATCTTTTCCTAGAAGTATATTTAGTGAACAAAGTAAGTGATGATGTTTAATGTGTATTTTGACTATTTTGCTACTTCTGCATAATAACAAAATCATCTTTTTTACTGATTAGTGGAAAATGAGAACCACTGTGACACAATAAAGCTCCGCAGGATGCTGTGCACAAATATGGAAGACTTGAAGGAGAAGACTCGTGCGTATTATGAGTCGTACAGGCGCTGCAGGCTGGAAAAGCTGGGTTGCAGAGACATTGGCCCTGAGAACAAACCAGTCAGGTAAAGGACTTGGTGTGCAGCACTTGCTTTCAGCATCCATTCACTTCACATCAACCCAATGCAGAGCAGCGTTCATACATAAAATAAGTTTTCTAAGAGGGAAAGAATAATTGAAGGATGTAGCTGTTCATTCAGTTACCTTCATGGAGAAGTATATGGGTTTAAATCAGCATTCTTTTTAAAAACATGAAAGCCAGTTGTATTTCTGAAATCTTTCTCTTCTATAATACACCTGAGGACTTAAATTTTTCTGGGATAGCTTGTCTGTTTTCTTCAGGTATCTGTGCTTTACAAGCTTTTAAATTATTTTAATTATATATTAGTATTATGTTTTATTTTCTTTCTTAAGAATGTCTGATTATAAATAATAGTTTGGTTGGACTCCAGGTTCAGAAGGAACTGAAGCAAAAACTTTTACAAAATAAGTGGTTACACTGTTGACTTCCCACATTATCTGCCATAATAACAAATGTCTTAGCATTTTCAGGTCAAAAAATCTCTTGCTGGACTATAGGGAGTTAAAAGAGGATTTCAAAGGAAAGTTAAGTTATAAAGAAGGTTATAGACACTCAGTTGTTTCATGTAGTAAAGCTGCTTTCTGCAGGAAGCATTTAAAATTTTATATCCATTTTGTTTAATCTTTTATTTCCTGTTCTCTTGTCTTCCTCTTCCTTTGGGTTTTTTTTAATGCATGGGACTGTACTTTTAACTGGTCAGAATCCTGCTGGGGAAGAGCTGATGCTTTGTGAATTGTTCAAGCCTTCATGGTTTAGTGAAGCACCATTACTACATAGTTGTGGTGGGAAATATTGACTTAAACCAGGCATGAAAACAGAATAAGACTTTGCTTTAAGAACAGTTTCTCATTGTTTGAACCAAGGCACATTTGCAAATTAATCATTTAGATGATGTTGAGCTGACCTTGAATCAGTGGTCTCTTGACATTTCACTTAACAAGAATGTAATACATCTTTTTCATAAAAAGAGAATCAAAGGTGAAAGAGGTTTAAAACCAACTGAAATTAACCATAGAATTTTCATTTGGTTTACATTTAAGAACGTATGTTAATAGCTGATGTCTTGTTATCCTTGTCTAGGGAAGATTTTTTTTAGAGATTTGTTCATGGCAATATTGACTCCAGTACCTTCAGCTTTTCTGAAGCTCCATTTCATGGTGTACAGCCATCTCAGGATAAGAGTTAAATTATAAAAACCATCATCCATAGAAGTGTTTTCTTCTACAAACAAAGGAATTATTTTTGTAAAACCCCTACACAGTTTATGTTTTGTAAAAAGGCTGAAGTGGCAGGTTCACATCAGAATGTCCCAGTATTTTACACTTCAGAGCTCATTTAGGAGTTGTCTGCTTCTTGGATAGACAGAGGAGCTGAGTTCTCTCTGGTGTGTAGATTTTACATATGGCCCACTAGATGTCAGTTTTATTGAGAGAGTTTTGGCAAGAAAGTACACTCAGTAATTAGTTTTGGTAAATCAGTTCTATTGAAAATGTCATTGTTTTGGAAGGATGAGATAGATAGATATCCCATAAGAATCTAGAAAAATGAACTTTTTCCCAGATTTACTGCAACAGGAAGAGAAAAGTAAGACTAGGATAGATGTTGTGGTTGTCCCTCAATAATGTGGCATAGTGAATGATGCTGAGGTCTGAAAGAGAAGGTGTTTGGTGTTTTGAGAGAGACATTTTATGATACTATAAAAAAGGAAGAGAATTTAGAGGATGTGTATGCAGTGTAATTAGCAGTCTAATGCAGCCTTACCCATAAGGTGCTTTATCAAGTTACTGAGGAAACAATAAAAAGTGTGATCATCAGCAATGTGATAGAAAATGTCTTTTTACGTAGAGGAAGTTCAGTGGTTCCCAGTTTGCTTGTACATTTAAATAACTTTTAGAATAGGGACTATCCAGTTGTTTTAGGCAAAACTGTGTTATTAAATTGTCATCCTCTTTGTCCTTAAAGATGTTTGCAATATATACATGTGAATTCTAAGTGTAGTTTTAGAGTAATTAATATTGCATAGCAGTATATGCCTGAAGATTAAAATTTCATGCTAGTTGTATAAATAATGATCAAAATGCATGTTGAGAATTCATATTTTGTGCCTGTGATGTAGCTGTCTACATATTAAATTTGATAATAACATAGATTTAGAAAACCTTTGCTAGACTTTAGTAATTGGCTGTTTGTAGCCTTTGAACAGTGACACTTGAGTAGCAAATGTGCCATGATTTTTGGCATATTGGGAAGAAACTGCCTGTGAAGTTCCTGTACTACCCTTTTGGATTTAGAAGTAGGACATTAGTTTATTCTTCCAAAGTTGTATGCCACTGCAAGGCAAAACCAGTAATTCTTGGATGTCCAGCTGCTTTATGAGAGAGGTTGTGGGCAGACATCTGTAAAGCCTTTTACTCTAACATGTGCGTAAAGCACACTTTTACATGTGTGTAAAAACATGTTGGCAAGTTTTACCTTTTTTATGGAACATGTGGAAAGAGATGGTTTCAGCATACAGCAGAAAAATATATTTGCATCTTTATTACTGGGTCTGAGAAGGGAAAATAAAGGTATTCTGAAGTGACTGTCTTGTGCACACTTTTAAAAACACCTATTCCCAAATCCTGTAATTTTGATGAAGCTATTTCATAATAACTTTTTGTTAGTTTGCACTTGCATTCTAAGAATGAAGTAATGAAGTCAATGGATAGCAGAGTATTTAGAATGTGGTTTATGCATTTTATGCAGTATCTGTTGGATATAAAATTCAGAAGTTAATTTTTTATATTTTTATAATTTTTTGCTACTTAAAATTGGCATTTGCATTTCTTTGTTGTTGAAAAGTAAAGATAAACTCTTTTGTGTGTGTGCAGATGGTCTGGTCCTGCCTTTTTGATGGTCCAGTTATGCCCATTAGGAACATGAATTCCAGTTTCAGGTCATTCTCAGCAAGAGATAATTGCTGAGATGTTTTGAATGGTAAAATTTGGAATAATTGAAAACAGAAATCTAGACATGAAGACTGCTTCCAGGGAAACAAACTTCTAAATATACACACATACCTAGTTAGCCTAGGCATTTGCAAGGGAGGAGAGGATTGCTAGTGTTTTAAAGTTGGACATTTTGTTGAGTCTGTTTTTCAATTGAGGTTGTTGCCTATGGGCACATTTTTGTTTTGCAAGAAGAAAATTGATAGACCAGGATCTGTTGAAAACAACTGAGGATTGATATTCAGGCTGTATGCTTGTGTGTTTAGATGTGCTGATGTTAATCATTCTCTGGGTTAGTTGTTCTTCTGTCATCATAATTGCAGTTTGTTCTCCATTATAATTGCAATTAAACATTATTGTAACATAAGCATCTTGGTTTCTCAGTATGTGGAGAATCATTCCTTGCGTTTTTCTTCCCCGAAACTGGGATATTTAGACCATGCAGCTCTCGAACTTGTTTATTTTTCAGTCTTTTTTGAAGATGATGACAGAAAACCAGGAAGGATTCAGTGACATGAAGAAGTTTTTATGTAGAGGAAGGTTGATGTGACTCTTTTCATGTCTGAGAAAAGAAACCTAACATTTGAAAGGCTGTTAGACCTTTTCTTTAACAACTCCTTGGCCATGGAGTTCATCTGACCAGCTGCAGACCTTTGCATTTGAACTAAATATTTTAACCATCTTAGAATGAGATTGGGCCACACCCAAAATACCTGGCTTTCTTGCCCCTACTGAAAAATTGATAATTCTTTAGGTCTATCACATCCTTATTATTGCTCAATAATCAACTGAGCTAGTCGACTGAGTCAAAGCACAGTGCTGGAAATACCTGCCACTAGTTAATATTTTTTTTTAGTTTTTCTGATATACCTTAATTAATAGTCAAATGTTCTCCAAAAAGTTGCAAGTGTTACATTCAAATTTGAAAGCTTTTAAAAGTGTAAGTGAATAAACTTTAAATACCTGTGTTGTTCAAAGTGCACATTGTGTTCCACTGAGAGTTAAATTAACTTCAGAGTCTTTATTTATGAACATAATGTGTCTGATTTGCAATTTTAGGCTTCCATGCTTTCAGTCTTGTACAGACAGAAAAACTGTCACAGCTATGCTTCTGTAGAAAGGCAGGTGGTAGTGCTGGTATGTATGATTAGTTTAGACTTTCTTCACAATCCCTTACTACAAAACCTCAGTAAGAATACATTATTTAAATAATTAGTTATAACATTTAAATTTTTTAAGTGTCTTTGTACAGAGTATTTCATTCTGGATATGTAAGCCAGAAGAATGAGAGTACCTGTGAACTTGATTTTCATAATGTGCTAAAAGAGAAGCAGTGAAACCAGTCTTCAGATAAACCAAAAAAATATTTTACTATGAGCAGTGGATGAAGTAATGAAAGGACTGGCTTAAGATGTGGTGAACTGTTTTTCCTTCCTCCCCAAATCTCCTAACACTTAAGAGTGTTTGAGCTATTGTGTTGCTGGGACGTCACACACAGAAAAAGAAATTTTGCTTTAGTTCTGTCTGGCTGATTCCCAGAACAATTCAGTCCAGGGGGAAGGGGTATTTCATGGAGTCACAGAATGGTTGGGATTGAAAGAGACCTCAAAGACCATCTAGTTCCAACCCACCTGCCATGGACAGGAATATCTTCCACCAGACCATGTTGCTCAAAGCCCCATCCAGCCTGGCCTTGAACGCTTCCACTTGAACACGTACTGGCATCCACAACCACCTGCACAGTAAATTTAAAAAATACACTTTTATTTCTTCTCTTCTTTTTATGTGTAATAGGATTATTTACTGAGTTGAGTGTCTTCAAAGTTAATCTTTTATTAATTTTAAGACAAAATTGCTTTTACCTGATAAAGTAACCTAGTCGGGGTCTAAAGATGTCCACGTGTCCATGTGATTGTAGCATGTTAACTGAGTCTAGCATTTGCTCTAGCAGCTTTATCATTCCCAAAGGCAGCATTTTATCTGTGAGAACTGACACTGTGTGCAGAAGTGTGAATAGTGTGAGATTGCTAGCACTTGAAAAACCTGTGCTGTAGCATTATTGTCTAAACTTAGAGATAATGTGAATTAATATATCTGTGTGAAAACCATGCCCCTGTTTCATGTGGATTTAGGGATTTAGAATTTCAGAGTGACCTAAGTTATTTCACAGCTGATTAAAAGCCCCCAAAACAAGCCCAAACACAAAAGGGTAATTGTTCTGAATTTATTTTGTTGCCATGTAGTGCTTGAATAAGATAGAGTAGGAGGAATGCTCTGGCCTTGATATCTTACAAACATTGTTTGCATGTGCAATTTCAAAATGTTTCTTCTCAGATGATATTTTGAATACAAATAAGAAACTTTAAGATTGAGAAACTGCCCAGTCACCATAAATTTAAAGATAGAAGGGAGTTGTTTAAGCTTAGTGTTGCTCTAAATAATTAACTCTTTAGATTTTTTGGGTAAGTTTTTCCATTTATAAATGGTTTAAATAGAAACAGTAAAAGATAGGACAAAACCATAAGTGTGTACTTATATTAAAAGTATAAATCAAAGTGAAATACTTAATATACATACCTATTTATTTTACATGAGGGTGGAAGGCATGAGTTATCTGGCAAAGGACAGTAACTCATGTAAGCTGGGAAGGTCTGACTCAGCAAAACATGTAAAGAACAGCCCCAGAAAAAAGCTGGAACATTATCCAGGGTTTGAGCTGTTCTTAAGCCAAATGTCATAGAAGACAATGCTTTAGAGTTTTCAATAACCAGTAAAACAGCTGTGGTCCTCCAGTTGTGCTCTCTGGAATCATGTGACTTAGAGAAGTTTATGGTTAATGTTTTGATGGAAGAACTTGTGTCATTAAGTAGGTTTGCTTTTCAAAGGAGGTTTGGTGTGTGAAGTACATCTGTGTACAAGCTCCATTCATATTTCTTGAAAAGCAAACATTTCCCACCAGCACTGCCTGGCAGCGCTAGTATAGACTCTGAAAATGTCAAACCTCTAGTAGTTTATTCATATGAATAAATTACTAGCATCTTTTAATTTGCCATGATATGTTGTGACATGAAAGAAGTATCTCAATCTCAAGTACCTGTTGTTTGGAGGGAAAAAAATTGTCTTGTGTACTGAAAAGAGAAGGGAGGTATAGATTTAAAAGTAAAGAAATGTTTGATTTACTTGCTGACTTTTTTTTTTTTTTGCCAGAGATTTGCTCAATGATCTGAACTAATTTACTCCTCCTATGTAGTTTCAAATATAAGTATAGGATATATGGAGTTTATTTACTTCTGGAAGAGAGGGTTCAGGAAAAAACAAGCAGTCTTGAGGTTTTGGCTGTTGCATGTTGGGAAGCAACCCTGTGCTTTAGATGTTGAACTATTTAGGAAATTGAATTAATTCTCTATTAATGTAATTCTGCCATATTTAAATTTTGACATTAAAAAAGAGTGCTATATGTTCTGAAGATCCTGTTATTTTCTTCCATTTCATATAGGAACAATCAGTTTTTTGTTACATTAGTGCTCCAGATTAATTGTTTTTGTATGGTCCTACTTGAAGACTGAGGTTTCACAATGTGGAAATTTTGTGAAATTTTTCTGGCAATTTCAGTGTCTTAGCAGTAAGCAACTAAAAGAAGAAGCTTATGCATGTTGGAGTCAGAGAGGTATAAATCAAGTCTTTAGAACATGAAATGCCTGAAGTGTTGCATTTACTTTGAAATGTAAATTGCCCAGGAGCTGTTAGCATAAGTAATTTTACTCAGGGTTGTTTACGTAAATAAAAAAATAGAAAGATAAGATGCTTGCTTCTGTTTAGGTTTCTTCTTGAATTTTTATGTGGGAAGCTGTAGAAATTAATATTTCAGATGAGTATTAATTGTTTAAATAATTTTCTAGATTGTTGGTTTTCCACACTGAACAAAGCAGAGTGCTGGAGAGTTGCTTACATTTTTGAACTTCAGTCTACAGGAAGTCATTGAGGCAAAGAGGCTGGAGTTCTGCCTTGAAGTGGAAAGAAAAGAAGAGGAGATATGGCAACGATTTGTGCAGAGAGTGAAGGAGAAAGCAGCAATGTTGGAAGAGGCAGAGCAACAGGCAAGCATGCCTGTCTGTCTTGAGTTGGTTTTCTGAGATTTGGAACAGCTAAGTTCTTCACAAAATCACTGGTTGATATTTATAATTTCCTAATATTTTGAGGACAGTAATGCATTAAATCAAAAGCAATTTGATTAGACACCAGCAAACAGGAGAATATGTTTTATGAGGAGCAGCTGAGGGAGCTGGGATTGTTTAGCATGAAGTAAAGAAGGCTCAGGGGAGAGAGAATTTATTGCTCTCTACAACTGCCTGAAAGGAAAAGTGAGTTTGGGGTTTGTCTTTTCTCCCAGTTGCTAAGTGACAACATGAGAGGAAATGGACTTAAAGTTGTGTGATGGGAAGTTCAGACTGGATATTAGAAAAACATCATCACAGAAAGGGTTGTTGAGCACTGGAGAACAGGCTGCCCAGGAAAGTGGTGGGTCACCATGCCTGGAGGTATTTAAAACACGTGTAGATGTGACATCTGGGGACGTGGTTTAAGGGTGGACTTGGCAGTGCTGGATTCATGCTTGGACTTGATCTTAAAGGTCTTTCCCAGCAGCATACATGATTCTGTGATTCTGTAAATGGATCTTGTTTTGAGAAGACAGGAGCTTACAGTCTAAAGGCATTGGTGGGTAGCTGGTGCACATCTGTAGAGGAGGAGTTGATATCGTGAAGTAAGAGAGTGATGAATATCATGTTTGTGTTTCTTTGCCTTCTTTAGCAATGTGAGAAACACTGGTATGCCATAACAACACAGTAGATGCTTTTTGTGTGTAGATTGCTCTGTAAAAAACAAAATTTTAGGAAAGAGTCTTTCCTCAGGCTTTTCAGAGTGGGCCACGTGTGTTTGCCTGACTTCCAGATCTAATTATTAAATCTAAGCTCAGCCCTCATACTGAGAGGTTTGAAAGTGTGTATGTCTGGTATTCTATTGGTTTGTTTCAGTTCTGGTTTCAAAATCTCATCTATTCCCAGCTGCCTTAAGGCTGTTTGAAAATGTGGAATGTATCTTGGCTCTGTTTTTGAAGATTCAGTCCTGTCAAGCTGGACTAGCAAGATAGGATCTTCTCATCTACTTTCTGCCAGACTGTTATTGTGGTCATGTGTATTTATATTCAAACTCTGGTTTAATTGAAATTGGAAACCTGTGTATTTTTATTAATGTTCTTTTCTGTATGTCAGTCCCCCAGCAAAGCTGTAGCAGGTTTTTTGAGGTGTTCAGGTGCATATTTTAAATAAGAAGGCAGCTTAGTATTTGTTTTCTAAATCTGTTAAGACCCCCATGCTACTTGTAGAGGAAAAAAAAAGAGATTCAGTCCTTCTCAGTGGGAGACTGTTCAATTGGAAGAATGCTTAGTCATATTCAAAGCAGGTTCAGCAAGGTCTTACACAGTGTCTGTGCTAACCCTTTGATATTTTCCTTGTATGATTTATACCAGGTGGTTTGTGAACTCTACATATTGCAGAATTATGGATATTAGTTTTCTAAGTTCCTGATGTGGGAAAGGGATCATGCAATCACTCCTAAAGAACATTTGTCATGTTCTCTTACTGCTGTATTTGTATCTGGAAACTAAAGAAAACTGGGAATTTCTGTTGAACTTCAGATTTCTTTCACATCATTCATTTAGAGGAGACTAGCAGGTGCACCTATAAAATTTGTCAGATCTGCTGTGTACAGCAGGCATACTGTTATGTTTATAGTCTTAATTAGTTTCTTCTTTGCAAAAGCAGGATTCTTGGAGAATTTGTGTGTGGGGAAATGGGAGATGAGGAAGGATGAAGTACCTCATTTGTTGTCACATACAACTTCACAATAGGTTTGAACTGGTTAAAATACATCTGGAAACGAAAATGCATTAGTATTTCAAAAAAACCTAGTCAAAGAGCTGAGAAGTAGGTAGCTTCTTGCAGCCCACCAGTAACTCCCCAACCAGACTAACTCTGGTTGTATTTAAATCTGATCAATATACACTTCCCCACTATATTCTGCTTGAGTCATCTTGATTTAATCTGTCTGTTGATGATTGGTTTAGCTGTAAAGGCCTCCTTATTTTGATACAATAAAGATACAGTAAAATGTAGTAGGGAATCTGGTATTCACTTAGTGCCTTTCATGTTTTCTACCTGTACTTTGAGTGTGGTATCCTGGATCATGAGAACAGTCTGATAAAAGTTACTATTTTTCTGTATTGCTGCTTTTTAATCTTAACAGTTTGGGGAAATAACTGAAATTTCTAACGACTATTAACACAAGCTGACATGGGTTTTAGTGTTATTTTGCAGAGGGTTTTTATATTGTGATATCACCACCTTGTGTTGCCAGTTGGAAATGTTGTTTTTTGTGCTTTCTTTAAATAGGTACTGACTGAATTTGAACATCTTACACTAATGCATCAAGAAGAGGAGCTGAAATTTGGGGAAGAGAAAAAACTTCTAGAAGATGAAAAAGCTCAGTTTGTTGAGAAGAAAGGTGTCACTGAATCGATTCAGTCACAAGTGTCTGTCTCTAGCCCTGTTAGTTTGAAGGCACAAGGACTGCAAAAAGTAAGTCATCAGAGAGCAATGAGAAAGTTCTTCACATTCACTTTTATAACTCAAATTTCAGTAATCTTTTAGAAAAGACAAATGCTCCTATTCTGTGATAAGAAGACAGAAGTGTATAAAATACCCTCATGCTTGGATTTACTTTTAGAGTAATTGCTGTATGTTCTATGAGCATTGTTTTTTCTTTCTTTTCTTTTTTCCATGAAAGAAGCAAGATTTTCAACTTGAAGTTCAATGCTTTCATATCAGAGATGAAGGAGCTGTGAATGTTCGAGAGCAGAGTGAGAGGGAGAGTGAGAAGGAGGAGTTAGAGAGAGAAATTCACCCAGGGAATTTCAGGAATAGTATTTGATTGCAGCACTCAGGTTTTGAATGGTAGGGTATGTTAGTAGTTTTATGAAGTAGTCTAACTGCTGTTTGGCCCATATTAGATGTGTCTTCCTAGTACAGATTTTTGAGAGAAGAAATTGAAAAAATTGGCTGTAAAAACACAAAGTGCAGAATATGACCCAATAAAGATTTCACTTTCTTCCCACCCATACATTTCTTTCTTTCACCACTCTTAAAAGAAAAACTTGAATAAATTGTGAAAATTCAGAAATACTTTCAAAAGTAGTGTCCAGAATAACACTCCCAACTGATTTATATTAAAAACATTGAATTAAATACTCATATATTAAATTAAATTGACTTTAATGTTTTTCTCCTCCAAAACCAGAAGTCAATTAACTTACTAATTTTCTTTCCTGATAATTTACAAATTTACTGCAGATAACATTTTGTTAATTAATAACTTCCTGCAGTTGAAAACAGATTTCTTGGTTCTGAATTTATTTATAACTGCTATATTCTGAAGAACTTGAGAAGCTATGTTGGTGCACATATTTCCACAGAATCATCAAGCTTTGACATTTTTGGGGTGTATGCCAGAAGCCTAATTTGGCCAAAATGTATTCCATTTCAGCTACTGTTACCAAATTCCTTTTCCTGAATTCCTTTTTTTCCCTGGATTTGCATACGAATTGGAATTCTTGGTAACAGAAGTCATTATCTGCACTAATATGAGTAACTCCTCTGGTTTAGTTTTATTTCATCAGAGTATGCTGAGTTTATATGCTTGCTGTGGTTTTTCAGTTCCAGCTTTATGTTGTACTGATGACAGAAGACACAATATTGGTAATTTCTCATGAGGAAGCAGTGATTCATGGTGGGCTCTTGAAGGTATAGGAGTTCCAGTTTCTTACTTAAATGTTTGGCTAATATCTCTTGTTGCTGCATTCTGCAAAAGAATAATTTTTAAGCATGATCTCTACACACACAGCATGGTGGTTACTGTCATTGTCATCACAGGGTTTCTGTTACAGCTCTGCCTTGATATGGGTTTGCCTTACATAAGCGTGGTCAGCCTGCTTTGATTTTAAATGCATTGTGCCAAAGAATCCCTGCCTGCCATAAACAGTTCCATTCAGAGTATGAACGGTGTAGTACAAAAGTATTCCATGAATATATCCACTACAAGCTTCCTGAAGAGTTCTTTTCAAATGGTATTGTCTATTAGTCCAGTAAGTGTTATTTAATACAACTATTGACATATTTGAACCATTTACTGATTTTGCTGATAAGTTTTTGCTTGTAGGCTTTTATGTACAAGCAGTGTTCTAAATTTCAGATACGGTCTTTTAAATCAAAATTTACTGAGATATTTTTGCAATGCTGTATTGTTGCAGGATAGTTCATCTGATATTACTAACTCAGTATGGAAAGTACCTATATTTGATGTTTTGAGTGTGGTATTCAGTTACAGTTGAAGATTTACAAAAACTCCAGGTTGGTTAAAACAAATTCTAAATGCTTTGTATGTTTTCAGTAGTCATGATAACTAATGGGAAACTTTAAGAGGTATAGTTCTCTGGAGTTGTGTTATTTGACTGTTTAAAAATGAAATACTAACTTGACAAAAATAAAATAGATTGGTTTTGCCTAAGTGTTACTCTTGTTCTGCTTCCTGTCCCTCATGTGTTATTAAAAAGGAGTAAGATTTCACATTTAACTGAAAAATATGAAGGTTTTACATCTGTTTTAAATATCTTAAGTCATTTATTGATTGGAAAAAATAGGTGATTTGTGTGAACAGTACCAGAAGAGCAGTGTGACTTGTGATACTTGTCATATACCACTGAACTTACCATACAGTCATGGAATATCTCAAGTTGTAAGAAGACCATAAGGAGTTGGAAGAGACCCTTAAGGTTCATTGACTCCAGCTCTCTGCTCCTTGCAGGACTACCATAAAATCCAAACCAAATGACTAAGAACATTGTCCAGATACTCCTTGAACTCTCACAGACTTGGTGTCATGACCACTGCCCTGGGGAGCTGTTCAGTCACCAATCTCACCTTCTATTTTACTCACACAGTGATGCCATATAATATACCATGTAATTTTAGAGGGTGGAATGGATCTTAAAGATCACCTAGTCCCAAGCCCCTGACATGGACAAGGACATCTCCTACTACACCAGGCTGCTCAACACTTCATCCAACCTGGCTTTGAACACTGACAGGGCTGGGACATCCACAACCTCCCTGGGGGCAGCCTCTTCCAGTCCTCACCACCCTCACAGTAAAGAATTTCTTCCTAATATCTAACCCAAATTTCCCCTCTTTTAATGTGTACCCATTGCTCCTTGTCCTAGCACTACAGTTCCTGACAGAGTCCCTCTCAGGCTTCCCTGTAGGTGTCCTCCAAATACTGGAAGGTTTGTTCCACACAACCTTCTCTTCTCTTCTCTTCTCTGGACTGAACAGCCCCAACTTTCTCAGCCTGTCTGTGTAGGGTAGGTGCTCCAGTCCCCTTATCAACTTTGTGGCCCTCCTCTGGACTTGCTCCAGCAGTTCCATGTTCCATCCAGAGCTGGATGCAGGACTCCAGGTGGGGTCTCACCAGAGCTGAGCAGAGGGGCAGAATCCCCTCCCTTGCCCGCTTGGGATGCAGCCCAGGACGTGGTTGGCTTTCTGAACTGTGAGTGCTCATTGCTTGCTTGTGTTGAGTTTTCCATGAACCATCACCCCCAAGTCTTCTGCAGGGCTGCTCTCAATCAATTCTCTGCACAACCTGTACATAAAAGATTGTTTTCCTTCAGTAGCAGGGAGAAGGAATAGATAATGAGACACAAACCTTCATTGACCAGGAAAGGGTCAAACTGCTAATTCAATCGTCTCTACAGACAGAACAGACTGTTACATAGGAGGAAAGGGTTAAGAAGAGACACTCATTTAGCCCACAACAGCCAACATATGACTTTGCTCAAGAGAAGAAACTGGGGCAGGGCCAGGCTCTGGGATTGCTCCTTCCTGACCAAACTGTAGCTTGATGAAAGACTATTTTTTGTTTGACTTTGTACCATTGACTGGGCTGTTTGCAGTTGTTGGATTAGAAAGAGGGGATATGCCTTTTTTAAAGGAGGTAACAGCAAAATAAAAAGATATTTTAAAAGTGATTTGGAAGTGTTACCAAGTGATCTTGAACAGAATGTAGAAAGAATTGAATGATGCATGTTGTCAGCACTCAGTTATCTCCCAGTGGGCTGTCCCAGCTGCTGATGTTAGTTAGCTCAAGCACAGCTCTTGATGAGTGTTACAAAACTGCATCAAAAGACAGATTTAGCTGTCTATAGTCTAGCCACTTTGCTGAGGACAAAGACTGAGAATAGTTAAGTACTGTTTGACCTAGATAGCTCTGTGCCTGGCTAGTGCTAGAGGATGTGCTGTGCTTTGACAGCTGGGAACCATGAACAGGGACATGTAGAACCACATGTCTTGGTCAGATGGGTTTCTGTGCACTTGCATGTGCTGGCCCTGCAGGACTCAGCAGCAAAACAGAACTGGTTCAGGCACCTGTGCAGGTCTTTGCAACGAGGGGGTTGTTCAGTTGTAGCACAAAAACAACATAGCACAAAGTAAGAGAGCTGTTGGGTTTTCCTTTTCGTTTCCTTGTATTCCTTTAAGCAGTGGAGAATCATCTGTAAGTGTGAGAGATTCCACTGTTGTTTTGTTGAAGTTTGCCCAAAGATGAGATACCAGTGCACATCACAGCCTGACAGTCAAATGTAATGCAAAGAATTATAAAGGAGCAACTAGCAGTATTGTCTGGAAATGGAGAATTAATAGTAGTGGTAAATAAAAACATATATGTCTCCTTGTGGTTTACCTTAGCCATGTGCTTTTCAGTTGGACACTTCAGAGAGGTTTATCCTACATGTGTAATGGTTTCAGGACCACTTATTAAGGTCTCTTTATTGTTATGGTACCTTCTGCAAGTGGCTGCTGCAAGATTACTTACACCCTGTACAAATCTGAAGGCTTTATTTTTTTGAATCCTTTTCTTAAGGTTATTTTGTATATTTATTCACAACTATATATTTGAAGTTACTTTGTCAATAACAAGACATAGCCAGTAAGGAGTTTTATCTTAAATCTGGCTGACAAGTTGGGCTCAAGGAGTTGCAGTCAATGTGGCTACATCAAACTGGCAGTCAGGCACCCAAGGCTCACTTTTAGGTCAGTGCTCTTTAATGGTTTTATAAATGAACTGTACATAGGAGTTGAATGTACATTAAAGAAGTTTACTAATGATGCTAAATTCAGGAAGCTGTGCACTCCCTCTAGGATAGAGAGGCCTTACAGAGACCACTGGATAGGCTACAGAGCTGTGCAGTCCCCAGCTGATGGAAATTAACAGGAGCAAGTGCCAGAAATTCAGAGGAAGTTCAGACTGAACATGAGGAAAAGACTTTTCACTGGGAGCATGGCTGGAATAGGCTCCCCAGGGCAGTGGTTGCAGCACCAAGCCTGTCAGAGTTCAAGAAGCATCTGGAATATGCTCTTAGTCATATGGTTTAATTTTAGGTAGTCCTGCAAGGAGCAGAGACTTGGGCTCAGTCCTTATGGGTCCCTTCCAACTAGAGATATTCTATGATTTTAACTTATGGAAACACAAGCCTCTTGTAACAGCAGCAACATAATATTTATATAGAAGGAAGAATACTCAAAAAAAAAAAAGAGAGTAATTTTTAAGACCTTTTTGAAGACTTCTGTAATTCACATTCAGTGAATCACTGCAAAAGGTAATTCAGTGTAATTCATGGATGAGTAAAATACCCAGCTGGATTTTTGTGAAGTACTGAGGCATCTACGTCTCCACGTTTTCTTTAATAAATGTATTTTTTCAAATCCAGACCCCAGCATCAAGGCAGCAAAGCCCTGATGGTTAAATATAGAAACTTGCAGGATTTTAAGGTGGACACAAAAAGCTTCCACAGGATGTTCGCTAGGGTGCGCTCGAAGCCCATG